GCCCTCGTGTAGCTTTGTGCGAAATTCAAAAAAGAAACAAACCATTTGCCATCCAATGGAATCTACATTTAGCTCCAACTCTGGCTTGAGTAACTATAAACAAATTCACAACTTAATAAAAATCTCTAGTAACACAGTGGTATTTTTTTCTCTGGAAACTAGTGAGGCACTAAAAGGAGGAGAGGACAACTACTGATTGACCATTATATGTAAAAGGTCGATAGAAACAAGAATTAGAAAATAAATCCTCTTTGTAAAACCAGTAACCAGAAAAAGACAGAAAAACTTGCAAAAAATATAATGCCAGTGTCTCCAGACCACTACATCAAAATTATTCAACCAGTACTTTACCGTAAGTGTGGCAAGAGCGTGTTGATTAAATAAAGACAACTCGTACTCCTCTCCATCCAGAAGCAGGAAGACAGTTTTCTCAAGTTCCTCATCTGCTGGAATATATGTGTAATTAAGAATAAATTAAAAAACCTTTATCAATAGTTTAAAAAAGTCCTTACAATAATATTTATTGCAACAAAGACTTATTTCTCCGATGAAAACTGTTATAATTTAAATATTATTTCAAAAATTATTTTTCAAACAAAACTGACTTTTTGTAATACTAAAAGATTGGTATCAAAAATAAAATTATGACAACAAAAGTAGGTTGTTTTCAGTCTGTCAACAGTATAGCTTACAAATGAATCGGTGTTGACAACTTGATTTGTCATAGCAACCGACTAAATAAAGATTACCTGTTAACTGTTTTAGTTGTAAAATTTCAAATTACAAAAATTACAAATTACAAAATCTTTCATGATATCGAAACATTTTTGATATTAATATGGTATAATAAAAAGCCATGATATTGTTTTAATAAAAACATTTCACATAATCCGCGTGAAAATAATCCCATTTAATGTTTCACCAGCTTATTCTGAGGCTTAAAGCTAATGTCAACCACGTCTATAACCTGATAAAGGGATTTCGTATTACCTAACGATAAATATTGCAGCAATTATGTATGTTGTTACCACTTTTATAGAAACCCCTGTGAACATGTAGGATATCGCTCACTTACTGACCGTTGATCAGTGTGGGTTCATAAACAGTGGATGAAATAATCCAATTCAACGTTTGCAACTTCTCTACAAGACTGTTAAACGTAACAATTCTTAAATTGTATTCCTTTTGTTGTACACATGTAAGTAATAAGTTAAACACACGAGTATTATTTATTGTAGCTGCTATTAGTTTTAGCTTCTTTTTTTTAGTTATGCCCATATCATCATCGTTAGTCTGAGAACTTACGAGTGTCTAGATATATATACTGTAGATACCAGAACACTGATTGGATGTAGTCCTTTGTTTCACCTATGTTTTATACAATAAATCAGCAGTTCTGATCACTTGTAGGGGTGTATAGACATATATCGTGGCTTTCAGGAGACTATCTTTATGTCTACTGTGTTATATACTTTCAGCAGTTTGAGTACTTGTGATGATGTATAAACATATGTTGTGGCTTTCAGGACATTACAGTCGAGAAGAGATTTATTCTTAAAACTATAACCGAAAGTTTATATAATTTTGAGACGTTTGGTTAATACAAAATTCAATCTTGTACAAGCTTTATATTGGGCAGGAAAAGGTAGTCTTAGAAGGAGTAAATTACGAAATAATGTTATTTAACTGCGCACTTTGAGAGGGAAGGAGGCTAGGTTGGCAGGTTAAAAAAAATTAGTGGTCAGTGTTTTATAATATTTTATGAAAGACGCTGGAAGTAGCTCAAATACCTGTTACGCTACCATCTATAAAACAAATATTTCTCTCTCATGAGGTTCAGGTATGGTTTAACGGTTAACTTACCTGGATTGTGAATCGAAGAGTTCACATGCCGAGTCTAATTATTACGAAAACGTACTTCGCGCTTTGAGGCCGTGAGTGTATTATAAGAGTGATGGTCAATTCCAACTATTAGGTCAGAAAGACCAGCTCAAGAGTTGACGGTGAGTGTTGTTGGCTAGCTACCTACCTTCTAGTACAGTGGTTCCCAACCTGGGGTCCGTGAGGTAATACTGGAGGTTCGTAAGCTATGTTCTTTAATTAAATAATGCACGGAAAGACACAGAATAATAACAACGTAAAAATCTGAGACTGTTCTATAACTGTCACAATTGTTCTGGCTCTCTAAGTATGTGAGAAAAGCCGTTAAAAATTCAGCTAAGCTCCTCGTGGGAAAAAATTGTGGAACATAGTATCAATAAAGCAACATTAACCATCTCATTAAACAAATAATGTTTTAATTCTGCTGTTCTTTTAATTGCACACTCAGTTATATATGTCTTTTATTTGACAGTGAAAAAATGAGAAAACAAGTTAATTATTAGTTAATAAAAAAAGTTTGTTGGGTAGACGGAATTTTTCAAAAACATGGGGTCTGTGGGAAAAAAATAAAATAAAAGGGGTCCTTGGTGGTGAAAAGTTTAGGAACCACTGTTCTAGTGAGTTTTGCACTTCAAAATTAGGGACGGCTATGCTCAGGTAGCTTTGCCAGAAAATTGTCGGAGTTTTGTAATCCAGATTTTCTAAGTAAACATTAATGATCGTCAGATATTTGATCACAAGTCATGTGCTTTTGCTAAATACGGAGTGTTTTAAAAGTCACTTCAGACGACTGTGTTCAGGAAACTGGTGGACACAATATTGTTTGGGTTAACCACTTTAAAAATAGTACATATAACATTGCAGTAGTTTGTTCAAACTGCTTGAATATAAATTTAGACGATAGTTTTTCATACACATAGGATTGATTTAGTGTGACGCAGCATGGAGAAAGCGTTAAAATCTGTATAGAATAAATCAGAGAAAAATATACCCATAAAAGTACGTTAAGATAAACGGTTAATACAGGCATTACCAATAGGAAGGAGAAAATCCGAAAATTGTTATTTGATGAAAACTGTAGAAATCTGTAAACATATACTGAAACAAAATTATAAAAGTTTAGAGACGTGCTTAAGATTAACAGAAAAATCCGTAAAATACTCAAACAATAAGTTGTATTAAAGAAAGTATAAACATAACTAACGTGTATGTACCACGTTATGACGGGTTTCGATAGCACTGGTGGGCGGAGCACAGATAGTCCATTAGGTAGCTAACCGAAGCAAAGTATGTTCCAATACATTATATTTTGCTTTATGCATTTTGCTTTAAAAATGTCAGAGTTTGTATTTTTTTAATTGCTCGAAGCTCGTAATTTTACTGTTACTTAAATGTCGACCAAGCTCTAAAGTTCAAAATTCCCATATTTTGTTTCAAGTTTCATTTTCATATGTTGATCCACAATTTCGAGGAATAAGATTCAAAATTCCACATGAGTTTGTAGAGTAACACGAAAAACTGCAGGGATGATTTTTTAATAAAACCTTTAACAACTGATTATAAAAACTCGCCAAACTTTGATTTAGGTACAGCATTAATCAACGTTAAACTAATGGTTAATCTAGTTACTTTTCCCAAACTCAAACCAAACATGCAATGACTTCTGTTGACACTTTGTAATTGGAATCCCGAAGTCATATTGCTACTGTCATGTTTTGTAGACCAGATTATTTACAGTTGGTGTGTTTGTGACTTGTTGGCGATAAATTTCAACAACAAACAAACAGCAACACAGTCCACTTGTTTTATAATATTACAACAATACAAATGTATTGTTACGCCTCCGTTCGTTATTAATTTTCTGTATAATTTCTTTCTGAAGAAA